AGGGGTGGGATTAGAAAGGCTGAGCACAGTTATGAAACTGGAGACTGCAGATTACACCTAGTAAACATAGCAAAATTTCCAGTTATTTTGCAAAGAATATAAAGTAAGAAAAGGATAAAGCAGTTCTTCTTTTAAGCGAATACCCTAATTATGCAGTTTCGTTTGGTTCAACTCTTATGGAAGTAAGGCCCACTTGACTCCCTCTCACAGTTGGTGAGGATGAGAGCCAGTGTGGTGTAATGGCTAAGATATTGGACTGGAATTGGAGAGGCCAGGTTTTAGTCTAAATTCAGCCCTGCAAGTTAACTGGCTGAATTTGGGCCAGGTGATTTCTCAACCCAACCATCCTCTTCAGGTTGTTGCTGTGACAGGAGGAAGCACTTTGTACACTGTCTTCAGCTACTCTATGAAAGGTGGGATATACATCTAATAAAGTAGCTCCAAAAGAATTCTGGAATACCCCCACATGCCTTCATTGAACAAGAACCCATTCTAAAATGGGCATTTGAAGGACAGAGCAGATGTATTTATTTATTAAGATTCCATCCCACCTTTAATATAGGAGCTCCACACAGCATAAACAGTGTTTCCTCTTCCCATTTTCCCCCACAACAACAAATATAGGAGGAAGGTTTGGCTGGGAGTGAATTACTGGCTGAAAATCACCTAGTGAGCTTCCATGATTGAAAGTAGAGTAGAGTAGGGTCTCTTCACTCCAAGTCCAATGGCTTTACTACTACCCCATGCTGGCTGTGATGCATGTCACCTTCTCAATAGTCCTGAAAACTTACATGTTCTCCTTTGTGTTAATGTGAACATGGCCATAATAAAAAGCACACTCTGATATTGGCCAAGCTATACTCTAATTCTTTTGCAGTCAAACGGCATGCAGTAAGTTCGTAATGTACAAGAGCAGAGAACAAAAGAACAAAGCAATAGCATAAGTAGCAGTTCAAGAGAGCGTAATGAACTTTTCATCCCTTGGAGACCCACGGGGAGACAGGGACTTGACAGGAAACCAACAAACAAAAGACCAAGTCCAGCCCTTTCCCTGGATGGAAGGAGAGAGGAAGGAGACTTAGGCTTCCCGAGATGTCCAGAAGAGCATCAAGTCTTGGGAGCCCAGATTATCTTAAAAGGAAATGGAATATGTTCAAGCTGAACAAGAAAGGTATCAAGCAGGAATTCGGTCCTTTTCTTCTCTGCTGACCTCTTATTTGGATGGACAGCCAAGAAGAATCTGATGCATGAGAGCAAAGTGATAAAGGGGGTTCAGCTCTGAATGCAGGATGAAGATTGGAGGAGAGGCAGACAGACGTGCGAATGTCACAGAAGGCAAGAGCTAGGGGCCAGGTGCTTTGGTGGTGGGCACAGAAGGGAAATGTAACAGGATGAAAAGAAGAGGACAGCGGCTTAAAGAAAGATGGCGCCCAGAAGAGAACCAAGAGGGGGACAGTAGGCAGCCAGTGAAGGTAGGATTGGGGTGGGGTGGGGATTGGGTGGCTCCTTTTCTTTCTCTTCTTGAATTCCTATCCTTCTCAGAACCAGTTTGCGAGATATGTGTCCCAGCCAGTCCAGCTCTGAGCCTCATAAAATCTAGCTGGAAGAAGGATTGCAGATAGATGGTCAGGGTCTCTCTTGTAGGAAATGCCATCTGTTAGAAGAAAGAGGCAACTAGTGTAAGCCAATATCTCATTTTGCCCTTTCCTGGTCATTATCCAAATCCTTCCTTTCATATCATTTTTTTCTGTTCTGTAATTGGGCAATCCTTGTGAATCTGAGCATGGCCACAGTTGGTTACTTTGCTATTGTGATGTGCTAATTGATGATAAAACCTAGCCATCTTACCATCTTCTCTCTCGTGGCCCCCCTCTTTATTGGCAGAATGCATCAAAGTCGGGCTGACCAGCATATATGAAACAAAACCTACATAAAACTAGAGCTGTCTAGAGTTGAAATGAAGGTAGTTAATCAATCTGTTTAAGATTAGTTACATGACTTAAATTTAAATGAATTTGCATGATGCCCAAACCCAATATCAATGCCAATTTAAGATATTGAAGGAAGTGCTGGATATTTATGTTCAATAAACAGAAGTTACCACTATTAACTCTGTATTGGGAAGTTACCCTTTCATTCCTTATTGTACTTACACATCCAGATTAAAATTACATGAAAGAAATAGTGGTTCACAACTCACTAACCCTCAACTATTAACTAGATTAACCCTTCTTTATTAACCCTCAACATTTAAAATGTTTAGCAGCTTAATTAGTTGATGACACAACGGTTGCCACTCGTGTCATCCCATTGACCAAACTTCTTCTGCTCGCTTCTGTATTTCATCCTTGTCTTTGCTGCAATGTAGACCAAGCTCTACTGAAATTTTCAGAACTTCTGGGCCTTTAATTAGAAGTTTTCTTCTTTTGGGTTCCCTTTAATCGGTCAACTTTGTTACCTGCCGAGAGAGAAGTAGCTAGACTTTTTATTACTGTTTTTCACTCTTTGTATTTTTCTTGTTCGGCAGCATGGTTTCACAATGTTAAAAAGATGCACTGTTTTAATTCTGCTGACAGTTATAGAAGAACAGAAATCTTAATGTGGAAACAACAATTGTTTTAGTCAATTACTTGATGGAATTAGCATATATTAGTAAAGAAGCAGTCAGGGGTGTTCATGGGGGGGTATTAAAAATCAAGATGGTGGCTACAACCATGTGATCGAAGCCTGAATATTTTTATGTGCATCATAATGTTTGTGAAAACAACAGGGCTTTGGTCACATGGCTGTGGCCACCACATTGACTTTTTTGACACCCCCCCAGACATCCCTGGAAACAGTAGTTCTAAAAAAGAAAGAGCATAGCTTGTTTTTATACATTGCAACGGCAGAGTCTTAAGAGTAATTCCCCATCTCCTTCTGATGAATATTCATATTTATATGAAGATGGCCCATGCCACCTGCAGGTTTAGCGAAAACAATCATGGGTTTAATTAGAGGCACTTTTAAAAAAGTAAGTGTATTAATAACATTTGTGACTTGAGAGTAAACTGAAAGCCACATCTCTGTACAAGGGTCTAGAACAGAGAACGTTCCTAGAACAGTGAAAAGGAAAGTGAAAGTGAAAGGAATGGGACGGAATGGAATGGAACATGCGACAGACATAACCTTAGGAGTGGTTATCCCTGGAGCTTCACCTAAGTCTTTGTTTTCATTGGTGTTATAGATCAGGGAACAATAGGAAACTGATAGCAAATTTGCAGTAGATCCCAAGCTTTTCTGATTCTCAGAAAATATGAAATGGGAAAAAAAAGTTTTCCAGTTCTAAATTGCAGATAGGGTAGAGGAAAACCTGAAATGAAACCACAATAGAATATGCATATAATGGAAAGATGAGCTCAGTTCTGCCTCTCAAAACAAATTTCTTGACTATGTGCTAAGAGCCAACCTTGTTCCTTAATCCTAAGAGTACGTCAACTCACTATCTTCTTTGACTTGTGTCCAAGCAGTAGATCTTGGGGATCTGTAAGAACAAAGTTAATTCCTTAGATTTGAAGCCTGATCTACACAGATAACAGGTATCCTTGCATCAAATTCAGTGTGTCTTCCTTCTCCCTCACAGGTGCCAACACAGAGAGAGCAAATCAGTGATCTGCACCCATAACTTCACAGCCAGAAACGACAATGAACTGTCAGTGCTTCAAGGGGACACATTAAAGGTGAATTTATGATTCAGGGTATCAGCCATGCCAGGAAGGGCAGTTGAAGCCCTGATGTAAAGAAGCTGACAGCATTTGGGAATCCAAAAATTGGGAAATACACCATTGCTTGCTTACTTCTGCAAAATTAGCAGTCTCCTTTAGCTAAATAAATGTGAAATGCTTGGACATGTGAAATCATGATATTTTCTCCCGTGCAGGCCATGGGTGTGCCTTAAATTGGAAGCATAACTATGCATAAACAGGCTGTTAACTAAAAAGGTGGTGGACCGGTAGCAGCTATGGAATTATTTATGAGGCTGAATTAGGACTTTTCGTGACAGTTCTGAGTATCACAAAAACCGGCTGAAATGTTGCCTCTGTTTATACAGAAACAGGTATTTTTGTTTGCTGTTAGGTTCTTGAGGATAGTAAGAAGTGGTGGAAAGTCCAGAACCGTTATGGTCAAGTTGGTTTCGTCCCTTATAATATTCTTGCTCCAATGCTGAATGGAGAAGATCCCAATATCCAGAATGACAAGGGAATGGCTCCAATCAATATCAGCCCTGTAATAATGAAGGTGAGTCGGGCTACACGCATTAGGGCTTTGTTTATTTGTTTCTGTTTGTTAACATTTTATGTCCAATGGGATTTAAAATGAAAAACCAACATTTTAAAAATGGCAAAGAAAACAGTTAACTGAACCAACAAAACAATCAGACTAAACATCAGAGAAAAACCGAGGAAATGTATTTATTTATTTAATTTAGACATCATATTCATATCGCTGTCCATCTCACAGATCATGACTCTGGGTGGTGTAGAGTTAAAAAAAATGGTTATATAGAACAGCCTTCGCTTTTCCTAATGTTCTTCAGATACTGTATGTTATGACATCATCATCTGCACCCGGTACAGGCCAGAAAGGGGAAGGCAGCTGGAGCTGTTTATAAAAGGAGGGATGTTGCTGATAGTTTAGGCAGAAATGTTGTTACTCTCATGCAACCAGAATTCAAGGTCAATCAATGACATTGGCCAAATGTAGATGGCTACAAAAAGGAATCTGACAATTTATAGAAGAGAGCTCTATTAGCAGCAAATACATTCATCAGCAGCATTATTCCTCTATTGTGAGCGGTCAGGCATGAATACCATTGTGCCCAATGTAGCCAGAATGGCATTATCCATGAATAAGAAGACCATCAGCAGACTGGACTCCAAGGTTTGCATGGGTACAAAAAAAAATAAAAAATCATGCAAATTTCACTGGTAACAGGGTACCAAATGACCATTATCAGGCAGGAGAGGTGGAATGAAATATAGTAGAGGAAGGTAAGGCTAGTGAAGAGGAACACTTCATGTTTTGTAAGTCCCACTTGTAATATGAGATGCTGAGAACATTAAATGGAGTATCCTGCCCTGCTTAGGGATGTCCTGGGAGAATCTATTGGCAACTGTTGAAAACCAAGTACTGGATTAGATAGATCTTTGGGGGATCCAATACCGCAGCTCAGAGGTCACTTGATGAAGCCTGATGAGATTTAGGGAAAGCAAAGCTTTCCCTCTTTGAGCTCTAGAAAATGCTGAAATATCAAAGATGGAAGAGTATTTCTTATAAAATCAGATCTCTATTCCACAGATATAACTTTAGATAGTGCTGAAAATGTAAAACCAACAGATAAAAACATTACTTGTCAAAAAATTCTAAGGGGATATGTAGGATCCAAGTGAACTGGGATTTCACATATTAAAACCCAGCCAGTTCAGTGGATTAATTGCTTGTAGATAATTAATGTAGCCTTGTTACCACAATTTCTTGTGACATCTCCTCTCCCTGATCAGAAATAGACTTCTGCCATTCATTGTTCTTCCTTTCTTTCTCTGCATAGAAAACACCACCTCAGTCACTACCAAAGACCAAAAGTCTGCAGTCAAATGGTGTAAAATGGGCCAGCACTGAGGAGCTTAACAGGAACCAGAGTAAGAAAGGTAAGACCCCTCTTTCACTTGGAACTGCAGAGCCAGCCAGCCAGCAATTCTTTTTCTTATTGTTTTGCCTAAGCACATGGTCCAAATAGCCTCTGACCTAATAAGAGCACAAAACTATGGAATTGTGTCTAGGGGGAGTTCACTTGTCTACTAAAATATCCTTTGGACAACCTGAACTCTGGGGTCTAGGACAAGGATGGAGACCTTGTGGTCCTTCAGAAGTTGCTGAATTACATTCCAATCATCTCTCTCACTAGTACCCATGGTGACTAGAGTTATTGGATAGCTCAGTAGCATTTAGAAGCCACACATTCCCCATCCTTGCTCTAAAATAAAGCAATATAACGTATATATTTTTAAACAACTAAACTAGCTTCCCAATACTTTCCTGATGTGTTGGATCATGTGATATTGGAGAGAAGGTATAAAAATACCCCTTTTGCAAAGTGAACCTGCTCCTGTGAGCTGGAGAAACTGAAGACTCTAGCCCACAACTTCCTTCAATGTCCTTTCTAGAGCACTTTGTGGCCTACCCTCATAACTCTACTTGCTAACTGAACATCTACTTGTTCTGAGGATGATCTCATTTGCTTTTTACCTCCTGGCTACTTCTTTCAATTAAACCATCAGCTGGTTTGCTTTCCCAGATGTACTCACTGCTAATGATACAGCAAAGAACATTACCTAAAGCCCTGGGATTGAGCCTATCTGTGGTCAAGACATTGAACATGGTTTTCAAGGATCTTCCAAATCCTTGGGGCAACCTATTATAGGGAATCCAGCCTTCCAGATGTGTGAGCTTCAGCTTCCAGAATTCTCAGCAATGACCATGCTGCTGGCTGAATGATTCTGAGGGTTGATAATCACTGGATCCAGATCCAGGAAGACTGCAGTTACTCTTATGGTCTCATACTACCAGGAAGTATATATCCCTCATCCAAATTATTCGAAGCACTGGAGAGGACCAATCAAATCCATAATCTAATCCTGAAAAATTCTACAGAACCTACAACATATTAGTTACTGCAGGATACTGTGGAAGGGGATATGACTGCCACTTGGATTATGGGCTATAAATGGAGATGTGCAAACTTGGGTCGGTCCACTTCCTACCCCCCCCCCCCCCCGTTCTCTCCCCCATCCCACCTACCTGGATCTGTGAGTTCCAGGAATGGCTCATCCATTTTCAGAAGTGAATGTTTTGGAATAGGAAGTGGTCTTCTGGACTTGATCTGCCCCAAAGCAGACAAACTACCCTGGAATGCCTGTATCTGCACATCTAGAAGAAAAACAATAAGTTCTTGGCAGAGAACACATAATTTTTGCACTTACCTAGATATAAGGACAACTCCTTTGCTTCCCCATGCTTGTTTTTTCAAATGAATCCTTGGTATCATGAGTGACATCTCTTCCTGCCCTGGCAGAACTCTTCAATACAGTCAATGAGGAGCTCATCCTGAGGCTGGCCAATGGGACAACTGGTCATTGCAAGACTCTTCACATCTCACGTACTCCAGATACTGATGTCCCTTTAGACTACAGTTCGAATCCTGATCAAGTCCAGACCTGGCTAGAGGCCAAAGGGTTCAATCCATTGTGAGTTGGCCTCTGTTTCTCTGTGAGAAAACATATGGGTTGGCATTAAAATCGAGGCATATCTTTCCTGATATTTCTCTCTTTAAATCATATTAGATACTAGGTCAGAGACATTATGCATATCAACAACCTGCCTAGTTGGCAGGCATCTAATCTTTCAGTGAATGACCTCTGCGTTAGCCACCACATAAAACAGCAACAGCATTCCCGAACAGCTCATTAGTTTGTGGGCTTCTCAAATTTGCCACTGAGCTATGATTAACTATGGATTCTTCTTCCACACCCCTAATAGATACTAATTAAATTTAAGAGTAAAACTGTGTAAAATAAGATTCCTGATTAGTTATTGGTTTGGGGGGGGGGAGTCTCTCATTGTCTAACACCAATCAATGGGGACCTAGAGGTAGCAACTATCTGACTGGCCTTGCTTGCCCAGTGGGGGTTCTTACTGGTGCTTTAGACATTCTGCTATTTATCCACCCTGACCTATCTGTGGTCAAAAGAACTGTCAGAGTATGACATAGTTAGAGGTCATTTTCAAATCTGTTTCATGTTTAGAGTTTAAATGGAATGAATCCTTTTTCCTATCATGGCCTATTTATTCTACCTACTCTTTTCCCCCCTTCCTGCAGGACTGTGAGAGCACTGGGAATTCTGAATGGATCTCAGCTCCTTTCCTTGCAAAAGGAGGAGTTCAGAGCTGTCACCCCTGAAGAAGGATCTCGAGTCTACAGCCAGGTTGCCATCCAGAAGGCCCTCCTGGAGGTACCAGGCATTTTGAAGTCTTTTGAAGGGTTGGAAGAATGGCGATGAGGCATATAGACAGTCAAGACCTCAATGAGCTGAGAGGTCTAGCCAGGTTCAGCAAAGATGGACAGAGCCAGGGGGCTGATAGTGATGAGGCAAGCTGAAGTTTTCAAAGAAGCAGGTAACATAATTAAAGTGTAGTGCTGGAAGACAGGAAAATATCCATCCTTAATTTTCCACTGTTTTCTTCTAGGATGCTGGAAACATATCAGAGCTAGAGGCTGTGATGGCGAGGCAAAAAAGGAAAGCAGAAAGATCGGACCAATAGAGCTCTCTCTTAGTGTGGCGGTGTGACTCTACTAAGAAATGTGGAAATGCAGAGTATCTTTCAGCTTGGCTTATCTCTCTCCCTATAGGATCAAAATCTACCCTGAGTAGGGACGTCAGCTCGAAAGAATTGGTTGTGGTTGTTATTGTGGGTGTGTTTTGTATGCCTGATTTGCTATAAAAAAATGAGTGACCATCGCTAGATGGTATCTCCAGTTTCTCCAGTTTCTCTTTTTAAAATAGACCTCATGGAGCAATCTTCTTGCACTCTCCCCCTTCCCTGATCCTTAAATGAAAAGAAAAAAAAGGGGAAATAATTGTCATACAGTATCTACGCTATCTCCATTTTAGAATGATTGCTTATCTCTTTCTAGAATGAGCTCTTGATCTCCCACTAGAAAAATACAAGTAAGTGTGCACCATTATGCATTCAGTTTTAGTTCTTTCATTAAAGGTTAGCCTGGATATTGTTTTTCAGTCGCATGGCATCGTGAACTTTGTGCATCTAAATCTGCATGAAAACAATCATTTTATACACAGTTTATTTACTCAAGTTCACAGCGTGTCATGGGAATCGTAGTCAAATTTCTCCCTCCACGTCCGGTGAATGACATTTTACAATTCATTATAATTTTTAAAGTGAATCTTCCTCTTTAGCCAAAATGACTCCACTTGTCCCTTTTTTTTTAATAGATAAGTTCTTGTGAAATAATAGCTCATCATTAAAAAATGTGGAGGAAATATGACTCATGAAAGGGATGAAACAGATTTTTTAAGTGTGTTGCTTTAAATTCAGAGGCCATTTTTTTTTTGTCATTGAGCAATACAATCTTTGGTCACCAGATGGCGCTCGGTAGCTTCTGTTTGGGGGCAAATCAAGCTATTTCGCTACAGATCTTTCACTGCAGACCAAAAGATTTAGCCAGGTTTTTAACAGCTTGCTCCTATTGTCCTGAAAGCAATTTGTATGGGGAAATGAACTGAATCAGCTGCTTTGAAAGAGTGTTGTGCAAGCAAATGTGATGCTTCAACTTAAAAAAAAAACAACTTATGGCAAAATGGGGTCATTTACCTTGAAACTCGCTCTGGTGAGGTTTTATTATGGGGTCTCTGCATGTGTGTGTGTATAGCTAGTGATTTAATTCGGGGTTTTTTTTCCCCCCCAGTAGTTTTCACACAATTTGATGCAAATGTGTTGAACAACGTACCATAGTAGCGGTGCTTCTGAAGCAGTTTTCATTAGAAGTTTCTTGAGTTCAATTTTACCCCTAACTCTACCAGCAGTTTTCCACCAATGGTTTACCCCCAAGCTGCCTTAAGATTAATGCTTTTGTGGAAGAGAAAGTTGTTGATGGTAAAATCACTGTAAGCTGATTTTACATAATAAATCTAATGCGGGAAATATTTATTTTTAAGCATATTTATATTAATTCATGTTATCTGTGGTTAATGTTTGTTTTTAAAAGATTGATTTTTTTTTTTTTTGATTTTTCTTTTAAATGGATGTGGCCTGATTTTGAAAGCTCCCTAGAATAGGGTCGCCTAGTTAAGTTGCCTGTTAAGCAAAATGGGTTTCTGAGCACCATGACCCCCCTATTCCCAATGCAAATCTCCCAGAATGAAAATAACATGTTTAAGGCCACAAATTCTGTCCTAAGGCTGCTTTGCAGAGGAGAAGAACTGGGAATTAATGCCAAGATCATCTATTCTTCATGGTGGCATTGATACGTTCATAAACATGTTTTTGCAAATGTGTTGCAATAATAAAGGGCCCATTCACATTTTTGAACACTTTAATAAAGCAGTATTGAAGGGATTTCAGTTAAGTTTGGTCCTGGCAAATTGAGTGCAGTCCAAAAAACCTCATAAGAGAGCATCTCTCGTTGGTCATTAATTAATATTTGCACATTTTATGTTTCTGATTTATTTTCTCAACCCTTTCTGAGATGCCCAGCTGCTCGTTGGTTATAGTGGGACATGATGGAAGTGCGGGATCCCTATTGTTTCAGGGTGTGGGGAGATTTTATGGGGGACATTGTTAATTATATTCAAATCTGTAAATAAACATCTCTAACAAGCAATAAACTGCCTCATGGTACATTTCCAGTTTTGCATGCAAAGCAGTGAATATTTTGCCTACTGATGCAAGTTCACCGACCTATTAATCTCACGAAGGATTTGCACTAAATGTTTATTGATACACTGATGCTTTCACTTCAACCAGCAGTAGGCGGCCTCTGGGTTGATCTGTTTGAATGGCGGAGTTTCAGCTGCATTCTTCCATGTAAAACCCTTTTACCTCATTTCCTGGTTTATAACTTCAGGGCTGTTTTTCACCCTGAAAGCTGTTGCTCCTATTTATTCTATTCTTATACATTGGGGTCCTATTAAAATTATCCAAAGCTATTTAGCATTAGAACAAGCTCAAATGCTTTCAAGGGAGTGGAAATGCATTGTGAGGTTAAAAGGAAGGTTAGTACAGTGACCTCCTTCTTAGTTTTGTGGCGTGAAACGGGGGCTTATCAAGGTGTGATGTAGGGACCCGTGAAGTGAAAAGAGGAAAGAGATGAGAGGAACTTTGGAGGAAGGGCTAGAACAGGGTTAATGCTTTGCATTTACTGTAGAAGAGCAAACATCAAAATATTTCCCCTCCTTTGTGGAAGTCCATTGTTTTCTTCTTCCACTGGCCCAGATTTTGCATCGACCTTCCATGTCATGTCTGGTCTTCCAAATTCTCAGGATCTTCCTCCACCCACTTGATTGATTGATGTTTTGCACTCCTGTCTTTTTTCTTGTCATCTCAAGATTCTATCTGTGGGCACCCCATACCATTTTATTCTCACAGCAACAACCCTTTGAGCTAAGGGGTTGAAAGAATAATCTAGTGGGCTTCGTGATCTAACAGGGACTTAACCTGGATTTTCCCCATACCTGTCCAATACCTCAATTGCTACACCAGCTCTTACTATGATCAAGGCTGTTTCCCTTCTTGCTTCCCTCTGCCGTGTAGAAACCACGGTGCAGCTCACTTGGGTTCTCTTGGAGGAAAGCAGGTCCAAGCAGCTTGTTTTGAGGAAAATGTCTGGATTTTGCAACTTGAATGTTGTGGTAAGTGCTGTTTATGGAGCAGATTCTTCTAATTCCTGACAGAACAGCCCAGACCCTTTCGGAGCGGGTCTGAGCCTGCTTTGGAGGGCGGCTCCCAGAATGGGCTTGGCCTGCCAACTTCAACAGGCCAGGCAGAATGGGGCGGGGGAAAATTTCGATTCTGTCTTGCCTGGCATTTGGGGTCCATGGGGTGATGGTTGATCCCATGAGCAAAAAATAGCTCAGCGAGGTGGTCGGAAGTCTTAAAATAAGCAGTGGCATGTGCTGAAGATGGAATGCGAGTACTGGTTTGACAGGGGTGTTTAGGATGGGGTTGGGAGCTATTGAGAGGATGACTCAGTCCTGGCAAGAAATATCAGTCTTGTTGCCAAATCCCATATATTGCCACATCCACGCACACACCCCTTCAGGGATCTTCCCCTTGCTATATATTTCCCAACCATTAGCAATCTCCATTAGGGAAGCAGCCATAGAAGTTGCTGGGAATACGGTAGGGCTGAAGGAAAGCCCAAAACTTTCTTATGTGATTCCCCAGCTAAGTAGTCATGTAGTTTTCCAGAGAAAGTAGAATCTCCGGTTTCCTTTTCATTGAGTTGGCCAACCAGGTTGTACCACTGTGGACAGCAGATTAGAGGCCCACAGGAAGATTGGCAACTGGTTGAAGAGCCACACCCACCAGATGTTCATAAATAGTTCTCAATCATCCTGGAGAAAAGTATCAAATGGGGTTCAGTAGAGCTTCCTCTCTCCTCCTGTGCTATTCAACATCTTTATAAATATCTAGAGGGTAGACTAGATGGAAGCGATGCTTATCAAATTTGCAGCTGATTAAGACTTTAAAGAACAAAATCATTGAACTTGAACATTTGACCTTGAACATTGTGTCAAATCCAACAGGATGATGTTCGGTGGTGACAATTGTTAAATCTTCCATCTGAATAGGAAAAACAAAACAAAACCTAGACACCAGAATAGGGAGACCTAGTCTGGCAGAAGTAAATGTGAGAAATATCTATCGATGCTAGTGGACCTTCAGCTGAATATGAGCAAGCTGTGAGATGCAGCAGTTAAAAAGGCCAATGCAGACTTTTGCAATGCCAATGCCTTAATTGAAGCATTGTGTCCGGATAACAGGAAGTAATTGTCCCATTGAACTTTGTGCTGGTAAGATTGCATTTGGAGTTGTGGTGGGTTCAGGGCACTGCATTTCAGAAGAGACATGGAGACGCTGAAGTGGGTGCAGAGACCTACAGCCAAGGTTAAGGGATCTGGAAATCCAGCCCCATGAGGAACAATTAAAGTACCTGGTCATATTTAGCTTACAAAATGAGGATTGGTATGATAGTGATCTACACTTAGATCTCTAACTCTTAAAGAGGGTAACATACCTAGAGGGGACAGCCTGTTCTTGGTTGACACCAAAAGCCTGACAAGGACCAAGGATTAAAATGAAAAGAACGAAGATTCAGGCTGAATATTAGGAGGAATTTAAACAGTGCACAATCTTCCAGGAATACTTCTGGTTTTCCCTTTGCTGGAATTTTGCAAACGAAGTCTTGGGTGGCCATCTATCATGGACACGGGTGGGTGCTTGCACATGTGAAGGGCTGGATTATATGACCTGTAAACTATCTATCAGCTCACACATACTATATACACGTCTTCCCCAGCTCATCTCACCACAGAATATTAAGTATTGAAGATAATTATATCGGCATAGTCTTCTCCTTAACATGTCTGTTTTCTATGAAGAGGGATTTTTTATTATTTGTAGGGAGGAGCATTCAATCATGGAAGCCCCTATCCATTCCCCAGAGAGGTCCAGACACAAGTTTATCACCTAAGTGGAGATGAACCATGGAACCAAGATCCCAAAAAAGCAGCAGCTGTGAGAAGCTTATGGGAGCCTGGGCCCCCACCCCCCTAAAAAGTAGCCCTATGCAATGAACCTTCCTCTCCATCCCTTAAAGTTGGCAGACAACATCCGATGCAAAGTCATGAATTTATTCAACGTTGCCCTACTGCCAAGCTCACATCTGCTACTG